GGTGGACAAGTGGTTTCATCTTGCAGGGCTTTGGCTTCCTTAGCTGACGTTGATGATAAGAGTACACACCTTGTGTTGTTATTGTGTAAGTAAAATGCTGAGCCCGCTGCCTGGTAGAGGACAAGAGATCATTATTATTGCTTGGCATGCATTCTTATTACGTGTAGACCAAGGGCCTTTATGGGCCCTGCCCTGTGGCTACAGTGGGATAGTATGTACTTGTGCAATAACAACAATAAAAATGACTGTATTATCAGCAATAGTAGTAAACGATGGAATCATTAAGTTTTTCCTGTCTTTACTTGCATCCAGGTCCAAATTTAGAAGTGCAGAGAATGGGAGCCTGAGGTTTCTAGAGGTGGCCTGGTGTCACAGTTGCTTATTCTGGTCCCTCTTGAGAAGAAGGAGTGAAGGCCACTTTTGGCAGCGTGGGATCCAAGGCTGTGCAGAGATAGGACAGTCTCTGCCAGTTCCTGCAGGGAGGCGTTCCTCTCACTGTCAGGTCTTTTCGTGTCATTAAATTAGGTAGAGCTTTGGGGGGTTTATTTGACCAGTGAGAAACTTTCATGAGGTGTGCAGCCAACCCCTACCTGTGACATGTGGTTTTGTTATAAAGGTCTTCTTTATAAATATTACTGGATAATGCCCAGATCACTTATTCTTCAGCCACTGTCAGGTCACAGCATGGTAAGTGATTTTATGTTGTCTTCCTTTCTGTTGTCAATATTCCACATGAAGAAGAAACTATATCATGTGACTTCAGTAGTTCCTAAAATTGGCCAGTGTGGGCTGGTTTTTTTTTGTTTTTTGTTTTTTGTTTTTTTTTTTTTGTGTGTGTGTGTGTAAGGGGTTTTATCTGTGACTTTAGCCATTCTGAGTTTGAATGGAGGGAAGCTTGTTCAAATATGTGGCACTCTCAGGACAGTTTTCATGTCTGAAATTAAAGAAGTGATGTAGGAACTCCTGGGATATGTAGAAAAATGATCTTTCATTCAAGTCATGGAAATTTTACTTCTGCATATACTATATATTTTTGTTTCAATTTTTTAAAACAATAAATATATACTTTTCCTTTTAAACAGTCACAGTTCTAATTAGCTATATCCCTTCCTGCCTCCCTATCCTTCCATTCACAAGAACTGGGATTTTCTATATTCAGACTTAATAAAAAAACTTTTTTTTTTCTTCAGAAGTAAATGCAGGTGCTCCTTGATTGGATGCAAGATTAGTCCTGATCATATAGGTGAACACATTGAAAATGCATTTAATACCCCTACTTAATTAGCTTGACCTAAACTGTCTTAAATGTGTTCGGAACACTTACATTAGCCTGTGGCTAGGCAAAGCCATCCATCACAGAGCCTGTTTTTATACTAAAGCATTGAAGTTCATGTACTATTTTGAATGTTGTATGCTGCTATAGATTAGTGTCAGTCTTTTCTCTGAAAATCAAGTTTGAGGGAACATTGTGGAGGGACCATTTCCCAGCATCAGGAGAGGATTCCACTGTGTGT